TCAAAATATTTTAAAAATTAAACCATAAATAGATAATGCTAATATAAACATTTGGTGAAAATATTTACAATGATTCGTGTTTGAGTTACAGGAAAATAAACAAATCAATTTTGTCGAAAACTGAATATGCGTAAAAATGTCCGTTTTTCCATTAATTTTTTAGGGTTTTTCTTGACGTTTTTGAAAACTAAMATTTTTTACTTTTGACCCCCCAAAGTACCAACTAGATGAATTTTCCTTTTCAAAAAGAAACTGAAGTCAAAAATTAAAGCATTATTTCTACTTTAAAACGTGATGACAGACATCAAAACAAATTTTTTTTTGAAACAACATACATCATTGTAAAATCAATACATTCCTCACTTTGTCCAGAATCTAAAAGTAGATCGTGCATAATTCAACAAATATGTTTTTACGAGTATCTCAAGTTTAAATCATTTAGAAAAGTTTTTAGGATTTTTACTTTTGACCCCACAAAGTAACTAGATACAATATCTCACCAATAACCCTATAACAAAGTGTAAAGCCGATTTTTTCTACTCCAAAAGCCAAAAGTGATGACAGATACAAAAAAAAAGCTATACATCAATGTAAAAACATCGTATTCCTTGACCTACTAAGAATCTAAAATAAAAAACAGGATAATATAATTAGATACAGTAGATGATTGAAGTTTTCAACTCTGATAGATAACTAAATAAAATTTGAATTTAAATAATCTTTTAGTATTTACTATTTTTATTATGTTAAAACTGTTCTGACGAATGATGATGTTATCTAATCTTAGTGTCGCTACAGTATTTTTTTTTTTTGGCATTTTTATAATTGGAAAAATAACATAATTATTAATTATTAAAAAATATTTACAAAGAGTAACACGATAAACGTTATAATATAACAACAGAAGTAATAACAAATAATGATTATTGATAATAAATATACAGATCAGATGATACAGTAAAATACAGGAGCTAAATTACATAAAATATTATTACATTAAAATAGTGATATACACGTTTTATCAATACTTTGTATTTTGCTTTAAAAAACGATAATTAGAAGTAAGGTTATGTTGTATTTTTTTTGTTTCAATTAGTCCAAATAAGTTTTGGAACACTTTGTTTGTAATTTGAAAACAAATAACCATAAATACTAGAAATTTTCACCATTTGATGTTATTTCCATTTGTATTTTATACATGGTATGATTTTCAAAATATTATAATTTTTTTGAACTATCAATAAAATATGTAATTTTTTATTATTTTTGTTTAGTTTTCATTCAATAATTCTCAATAAAAATTGTACTCTTAGTCAACAGCTTAGAAATTTGATAAAAATACTAAAGTAAAATTTTTATAATTGAGCAGAGATTTTTTTATAAGAATTAATTTTAACCGATTTCTTTGAAATCGTGAACAGTCGCAAATTATTTTTATAATTAAGAATTTCTTAAATATTTAATTATTTAATATTCACGCTTAAAATTAAAAAATGTATTACAAGGTTCGTCATAATTTGTTATTAAAGCTATTTAAAAATATAAAAGATTATAATAAAATAATGATTTTTTTTTATGAGCATTTTTTTTGTTTGGTTTTTACAAAGTTTTATTCAWTGTGTTGCAAAAAAGAACAATAAGAACAACTGAGGATGTAATAGCCAATAGGG